AGTCTTCTGCCTCAGCCTCCCAAGTAGCTGGGACCACAGGCCCCTGCCACAACGCCCAGCTATTTTTTGGTTGCAGCCGTCATTGTTGTTTGGTGGGGGCCTGGGCTGGATTCGAACCCACCACCTTAGGTGTATGTGACTGGCACCTTAGCCACTTGAGCCACAGGTGCCGAGCCTTAATTTTTTTTTTTGATACTGAGTCTCACTATTCACCCTCCATAAAGTGCTGTGGCGTCACAGCTTACCACAACCTCAAACTCTTGGACTTAAGCTATTCTCTTACCTCGGCCTCCCAAGTGTTGGGACTACAGGTGCCCATCACAACACCCACCTATTTTTTTGTTGTTGCAGTTGTTTAGCTGTCCCAGGCCAAGTTCAAACCCGCAACCCTCAATGTATGTGGCTGGTACTATAACCACTGTGCTATGGGCGCCGAGCCAGTTTTAATTTTTTTAAAGGCAATCTCCTAGTGCTACGGGCGCCGAGCCAGTTTTAATTTTTTTAAAGGCAATCTCCAAGTTGCCAACATGACAATCATATCTATGCACACATATACAGTAAGTGCTCACTTAACCTCATGCATAGGCTCTTGGAAACTGTGACTTTAAATGAAGCAATGTATACTAAAACCGAATGACCATAGGCTAATTGATATAAACAGGAGTTCCTGTGCTGTATTTCTAGTCAGAAAACATCACCAAACTCCCTAAAGACAGACCCAAAACATTTCTAATATTAATATTAAATCTTATTTAAGAAAGATTAATGAAAATAAGTAAGATATTTACCAGCTTATTCCATTTCAGGGCTGTAGGTAGCCAGCGCCTATCCTGGTAGTTCTGAGTGCACTCACACACACACCTACCCACAGTCACTTGGAGACAATTTAACACCTTTCTTTACCTAATGTGCTTATCTTTAGGTTGTGGAAGGAAACCAAAGTACCTGGGAAAAACCCGCAAATACATGGGGGACAATGTGTAGACCCCACACACACAGTAGCCCCAGCCAGGAATGAATTACTTTTTTCAACATTGTAACAAAACAACATTGAGTGAAACAATGTTATTTGAGGACCTGCTACCCTGTTTCCCCAAAAATAAGATGTTGTCTTATATTTATTTTTTCTCAAGAAGACACACTAGGGCTTATTTTCGGGGATGTCTTCCTCTCCACACCAAAATGCATGGCGTGGCTGTGCAGATACACCCATCACTAGGTCTTATTATTGGGGTAGGGCTTATATTTAACAAAAGGATAGAAATCCTGCTAGAGCTTATTTTTTGGATAGGTTTTATTTTCAGGGAAACACGGTATATATAAATGTAAAAATGTATGAAAATACATGTATAGTCCTAAAATATCCTTTCTATATGATTTTATAGGTAAACAGAATCTGGTGATTATGGGTAGGAAGACCTGGTTCTCCATTCCTGAGAAGAATCGACCTTTAAAGGACAGAATTAATATAGTTCTCAGTAGAGAACTCAAGTAAGTACTATAACATAAATCACTTTTTTTAGTATCACATAAAATCAAAATAACTGTGTCTTGGGACTTGCTAAAATTAAGTGACAATCTCTCTTAGATCCAGCCCTAAATGTAATAAGACATGATGGACTGAAACAGGTCATAATCTCATAGACATGCCCAGTGGGCTGGGAGGTGGGAGGGATAATCACATTAAGACTGCCCAAGGCAACTCCCCAGGTTTGACCTTTACCATGGCTTCCAGGTGTGATATATTGAGATTTTTATTTTGTTTTTGTTGTTGACTGTTCCTACCCACTACATTTCCTGAACCTCAGGAGGTTTTTCTTTTGGGAGAAGGGCTTTGACCAAAATTGGACCTAAGGGAAAATGTGGGGCCTAGCATGTTAATCACTCTTTCTTAAACTAACAAGGTAATAAAAAAAAAAAAAAGGGCTTGGCACCCGTAGCACAGTGGTTACAGCATCAGCCACATACACAGAGGCTGGGGGGTTCAAACCCAGCCCAGGCCAGCTAAACAACAGTGACAACTGTAACAAATAGCTGGGCGTTGTAGCAGGCGCCTGTAGTCCCAGCTACTGGGGAGGCTGAGGCAAGATAATCACTTAAGCCCAAGAGTTTGAGGTTGCTGTGAGCTGTAATGCCATGGCACTCTACCGAGGGCAACATAGTGAGACTCTGTCTCAAAAAGAAAAAAAAGATGCAGTGTTGTAGTTCACTACTTGCTTGAGAACAGTGGTCGTAATTATTCTTTTCCCACGTGTGTTAGGGTTCAACTAGAGAAGCACACCCAGTAAAAGGGATGTGTGTGTGTACATTAAAGAGTTTTATTACAAGGAATTGTCCTATACAATTGGCTAGAGGAATCCAGAAATCTGAAGGGCAGGCTGGAGCTCTTCAGCAGGAGGCGAAACTGCACAGGGGACATTTTGTCTTCAGGGAATCTCTACTCTGCTCTTAGGCCTTACAACTGATGAAATCAGGCCCACCAGATTAAGGTCAGCAAATTGTGGATGGAATTACATCTACATAATTCTCTTGCAGCAACACCTAGATTAGTGTCTGTACAGCTGGGGATTATAGTCTAGCCAGGTTAACACCATGGGAAAGAAAAAACATTACACAGCTTATGGGCTAAAGGGATTCAGGCTTACATAGGTTTTTACCCCAAATTCCTCCTGGAGTGGCATGGGTCAAAACCTATAAGAAAGGGCACCAGAATATTTGCTCTGATTGCCTCTGGGTGATGGGAACTATGTTGCTGTGCATCTTGCCATCTGCTTCCATCCGTCATGCTATTCTTTCTCCTGGTTGCTGTTGTGATTATCTCCTTCCTTGGTAGAATTGAGATTCATAGACTATATTGCCATTCCCAGAGACTCCTTAATAACATTTTTAAATACCACTCAAGTTTATTTATGGCCAGTTTGAGCTTAAACAAGGAAATCTCAGTGGGGGAGATACTCGGTTGAGCTAGCATTTCTCCTCAAACAATAAGTCTGATTTCTTCGTTATGACGCCACCCCCACCCCCGTGGTAAATGTAATTGGATTTGTTTGCTTATCATATTTATATGTAGCATTTGTTGGTGTATTTAGCTTTGTTTCCAAAAAGGGCTAAGAAAATTTGAAGTCTTTATTATCAAGCATGCCAAGGAAATAAATAGTGATGCCAATTAGTAAAAAAAAAATCAGAGTTCTTTGTTTTTGTCCTTTCTCCTGCTTCCCTACTTGCTGGTCAGTGCCACACATATACTGAGCACCAGGAGTATGCCAGGCCCAGGGATTCTGAATGAAAGGGCAGAGATTTACACGTGGATGTCACTATTGCTTATACAAGCTTTTAAAGATACTTGAGGTTTACTCCCCCTCCCCAATAAAAGGAGAAACTGAATCCTCAAGGTCATCACAAAATTTACTGCCGAACACTAGTTGTTTGCAGTAACTATATCTTTGATAAGGTATAGTGGGAAAGATGCTTTTCCAAAGTTCTCTAGATAAACAAGTTGCCGCTTTAAAAGAACTGAGATGAGGGGCCTGGAGTGACTGTTGGTGGCTACAGGGTTTCTTTTTGGTTTGATGGAAATGTTCTCAAAGTAGATGCTTGCACAACTCTGTAAGTAAACTACAGGTTACAAGATTATACACTTTAAAAGGGTGAATTGTATGTTGTGTGGGTTATATCTCACTAAAGAGGTTTTAAAGTCTTTGGAACCAAAAATTAAGTAAAGTTTTACTACAGTGCTGTAGCTTTGACAGCATCTTTAATAAATTTGTGATAGTCTCTAATCTATGAACGTTAGCTAAACTTCATGGATTTAATTTTATGATCTTGCTGTCATATTCTCCACAGTGATTAATAGTTTCCCTTCTTAAAGTTTCAGTTCTCTCTCCCCCCCTCTCACACACTTGGTTTAGCAAACACTGGCTGACCTGGTTCCTTTTTTTTTTTTTTCTGAGACAGAGTCTCACTCTGTTGCCCTCAGTAGAGTGTCATGGTGTCACAGCTCACAGCAGCCTCACACTCATGGGCTTAAGCAATTCTTTTGCCTCAGCCTCCCAAGTAGCTGGGACTACAGGCGCCCACCACAACGCCCAGCTATTTTTTTGTTATAGTTGTCACATTGTTGTTTAGCAGGCCCAGGCTGGGTTCGAACCCATGAGCCCTGGTGCATGTGGCCGGCGTCCTAACACCTGAGCTACAGGTGCCAACCCTGACCTGGCTTCCTTATACTGAGAATGTGCTGTAGCATCTAGTAACTTTGTGGCATCAGGCAGGTTACAAGTAAGCCTTACTGAACCTCAATTTCCTTGCCTACTAACTTAGATTAATAATGACAGCTTCTTAAGAGTGAATTTGAAGATTGACTGAATTTTTGTATGTAAAGTTTCTGGCACACAGAAGGAAACAGATATCAGTTCCTCCCCTAGCAGCCATTGTTGCTGCTTTACAGCTTACAGAAAATATTAACATTAATAAGATTACAGTGAACAGGCTGATCTCACTTTACCTTAACATATCAATTTAATCTTACAATCTTCAGACAGAAATCCCCTCCTACCTAAAGCAGTGTTCTTCTCTCCCCCTGCCCAACACACACTTTATTCTACATTCTATTTCTTTTTTTCTTTAATCTCCTGTACCACACAATTGTTCCACACCATAGTATTTTCAACTTCACCACAGGTTACTTTTCTTCAATCTTCAGTTTCTCAGACTTTCTTGTGAATACCTGTAGTATAATCTTCAGCATTTCTATAGTAGTGTGTCACGTCTGTGTTCGTGCACATATTTTTCTCCTTTGATGCTCAGCTAAGGATTTGTGCCATGAGAAGTATTCTCCCTCATTGAGCCTCCCCTCTGTTCCCCTGTAACTTCCTCTGCACATCTGCATTGTATGTCTTTTCATTCTTTGTGACTACTCCTGAGATATTTCTCTGCCATCATGATCTTTTTTTGGTACAGGAACTGCATATTTTATCTGTTCATTGAAGTAAAAGTAGTCACACACATTTTTGGTTAGAGGCTCGGGCTGGTCTCAAACTCCTGAGCTCAAGCAATCCTCCTGCCTCGGCCTCCCAAAGTGCTAGGATTACAGGTGTGAGCCACCGTGCCTGGCCTCCCTGGTTGATTCCTTATACATTCTGATTTTTGGTCTATTGTTGGATGAAAAGCTGTCAATTTGTTCCCATTTCATAGAGTATCACTTACCCTGTTGATTATTTCCTTTGTGGTATAGAAGCTTTTGAGTTTAATTAAGTCCCATTTGTCTTTGTTTTTTATTATGAGCTTTTGCAATCTTAAGCCATAAAATCTTTGCCTATACCAACGTCCTGAAGAGTTTTCCTTATGTTATATTCTAATATTATTTGTTGTTTCAGGTCTTATGTTTAAGCCTTTCATGCATTTTTGAGTTGATTTTTCTAGATAGTGAGAGATAGCAGTCAGGTTTCATTTCTCTGGGAGTGGCTATCCAGTTTTCCCAGTACTGTTTATTGAATAGAGCATCATTTTTCCAGCATAAGTTCTTAGCAGCTTTGTTGAAAATCAGTTGACTATGAATTTATTTCTGGTGGGTTTGCTGTGGTTTTATTTCTGGGTTCTCTATTTTTTTCCATTTGTCTATGTGTCTGCCTTCATACCAGTACCATGCTGTTTTGGTTACTATAGCCTTATAATATATTTTAAAGTCAGATAATATGATGCCTCCAGCTTTGTTCTCTTTACTCAGGATTTCTTTCACTATTGAGGCTCTTTTGGTTCCATATGCAGTTTGATATTTTTTCTTTAAAGGAAGATTTACATTGAATCTATAAATCACTTTAGGCAGTAAGGACACTTTGACAGTATTGATTCTTCTAATCTCTATGCATGGGATATTTTCCATTTGTTTTTGTCATCTATGATTTCTTTGGCCGGTGTTTTGTAGTTCTCATAGAGCTCTTTCACCTTGATTAAGTATATTCCTAGACATTTTTACTTGCAGCTGTTGTAAATGGTATTGCGTTTCTTGATTTGACTCACAGCTTGACTATTAGTGTATACCAATGTTACTGATTTGTATACATTACTTTTGTAACCTTAAATTTTACTGAATTTAGTTATCAATTGTAGGAGTCTTTTGAAGGAATGTTCAGGGTTTTCAAGTTATAAGAGCATATCATTGGCAAACCAAGATAGTTTGACCTTTTTCCTGATTTGAATGCCCTTTATTTCCTTCACTTGCCTGATTGCTCTGGCTAGGACTTCCAGTTGAAAGCAGGGTATTGAAGTCCACAACTGTCATTTTATCACAGCCTATCTTTAGATCTACTAATAGTTTTATAAATCTGGGTTTTCTAGTATTGGGGTACACATACATTTAGAATTGTGATATCCTCTTGCTAGCTTGATCCCTCTATCATTATATGATAACCTTCTTTGTCATTTTTTTTTTCTTCTTGGCTCTTTTTCATGTACAGTTATATCTAAGTATAGCTATTCCTGTTCACTTTTGGTTTCCATTTACATGGAACATCTTTTTCCATCTGTTTATTTTTCAGTCTATATGTATCTTTATTGGTATAATAAGTTTCATGTAAGCAGCATATACAAGCAGTCCCCAAGTTCCAAACATCCAACTAACATATAACTCTGACTTGGAAAGTTTTTATATATTCATTAAATAGGTTTTCTAATGCTTTCCCTGTTCCTTTGCCCTTGGGGATACTGATGATTCAAATATTGAATTGCTTTATGTTGTCCTAGATTCACAAAGGCTTTGCTCACTCTTTTAAATTCTTTTTTCTTTATTTTTTATCTGACTGGATAAAGATTCAGGTAGAAGATTCTTTCTTCAACCTGATCTGGTCTAGTCTACTCCTGAAGCTTTCAAATGTCCTTTGTATTTCCTTCAGTGAATTCTTTAGTTCTAAAATTCCTTTCGGTTCTTTTTTTTTTTTTAATATCTCTTTGATAAATTTCTCATTCTTATCCTAAATTGTTTTTCTGATTTCTTTGTATTGTATTTCAGAATTCTTTTGTATATTACTGAACTTCATTAAAATAACTTTGAATTATCTTGGATCTTGAAAATTTCCAGGCAATGTGGTGGGTGCCTGTAGTCCTAGTTACTTGGGAGGCTGAGGCAAGAGGATCTCTTGAGCCCAAGAGTTTGAGGTTGCTGTGAGTTATGACATCATGGCACTCTTCTGGGGGGACGACAGAGAGAGACAAGAGGAGTGAAATAGAGAAGGAGAATAAATTAGTCTAAAATACTGTGACCAAAAATACAGGAGTCCTTGCTCCTAACGAAAGTAAAAATGGAAGTAAGAATAGAACCAACCAAACAAATTAGCAAAAGCAAAACACAACAAAACAAAAAAAACTCAAATTGCCAAAAACAGCAGCAACCTTAGCAACATAAAAAAGAAGAGAATAAAAAATAAAGGAAAAAAATAAGCTTGGCAACCATAGCTCAGCAGCTAGGGCACCTGGCCACATACACCAAGGCTGGCAGGTTCAAACTCAGTCTGGGGCCTGCCAAACAATAATAACTACAACAAAAAAATAGCCAGGTGTTGTGGCAGGCACCTGTAGTCCCAGCTACTGAGAAGGCTGAGGCAAGAGAATTGCTTGAACCCAAGAGTTTAAGTCTGCTGTGAGCTGTGATGCCACGGCACTCTACCAAGGGAGACATAGTAAGACTCTGTCTCAAGAAAAAAAAAGAACAAAACAATGACAACTGCAACAAAAGTAGCTGGGTGATGTGGTGGGCTAGTCCCAGCTACCTGGAAGGCTGAGGCAAGAATCACTTAAGCCCAAGAGTTTGAGGTTGCTGTGAGGCCACAGCACTCTACCAAGGGCAACATAATTAAACTGTGTCTAAATAAATAAACAAATACTAAAAAAAAGTTTTTATATATACACAGAAGGGACTCACTTTAATGGGAATATATATGTTACAATATATTGCCAAGACACCAGGTGTCACTGTGGTCTTTTTTTAAGAGATGGAGAATACAGCCAGCAACCTCTGTGGTTCTTACTCCTAACTTAGTTGCCTTCAGTGATCACCTGATTGCTTCCTCAGCATTCAGACCCCACCAGGTTGGGATGGTAAAGCTCTCCAGAATCCTTCAGGGGTTTGTCTCACAGTGCCCCCTGACACCAGTTCCCATGGGTACAGGAGTTCCTCAGCCTGTCAAAAGTGTAGTTCTGATCCTGGCAGGCAGAATTAAGACCACCATGCCTTAGGCCCCTGCTGAGACCTTCTCATGACTTTCAGTGGCAGCCCCCTGGCCACCAAGACCTTCCCAGTATGGTTGTCTCCCTAGCCACCAAACTGATAGCAAATCCACTCCAGGCGGCATTCATGTCTGGCTGCCGTATACTGTTCTAATCCTCCCATTCTTCCACGCTTTCCACCCAACTCGCAGATTCCCCCCACAACCAAAAAGGCTTCCTCCTGTCCCAGACCTGGTGTGGGAGTGCACAGAGAGGCACGTTGCCCACTATATAGGGCTAGCAATCACTTGCCCAATAAGTCAAATTTCCACCACTCCAGATCATAGGCTGTATCCAGCTCGCCAACTCCTGGCTGTGCTCCCTGAGCTATGACTCTAGGCAAGGTCCCACACCAGGTATGACTGGGCTCTCTCCTTTTCCCCAGTTGTAGTAGGAGAGCTGAGCTCAACAATCCTTCTGGTCTGCCATCTTTCCCCACCATCCCAGATGTGCAAGTCTTAAGTATACATTTGCTGAGTTATCACAAATACACACACCTGTGTTACCCAAGCCCTGTAGAAGATATAGAATATTCCTTCACCCTGAGAAAGTTCCTTCATGTTCTGTCCCACTTTAATCTTTATCTCACCCTTCCAGAGACAACTACTATTCTGTCTTCCAGTGATATCACAAGGTATCACATAGTTTTTTGATTCATTGGAACCATAGATACAGAAACGTAGGTTGAATTATTAGTAATCAGCCATACTGATGTTAAGTGCTTTTTATTGAAAGGATTCCTATTTATGATGATTTTAGTTTTATAATCACTACTTCCTATTCAGATTATTTTAGTATGGATGAGTTTTACAAAAATTGTGTAATTTTTTTTTTTTGACCACAGGGAATCTCCACAAGGAGCTCATTTTCTTGCTAAAAGTCTGGATGATGCCTTAAAACTTATTGAGGAACCAGAATTAGCAAATAAAGTAGACATGGTTTGGATAGTAGGGGGCAGTTCTGTTTATAAGGTAAGAAAGTTATCTGTAAATGTAAAGAAATGTTCTAACTTACTTTCTCTCAGCTTCCCTGCTATTTAAAGGGGAATGGAGGAGACAGAACATAACCCATTGTCAGAACTTACCAAAAAATTGAGCCATGGGCATAGGAAGCAGCCCATTATCCCTACTGTAAATTAGATATGTTGTCGATTTAAATAATTCATTGTTTGATCCTATCATCTAAACTAAATAAAAATGCAAAAGTAAATGTTTTTCCCCATACCAGTCTGTTTTCTTTATATTTATTTTTAATCGACAAATAGTTGTATATATTTATTGTGTACAACATACTGTTTTGAAATGTATACATTATGGAATGACTAAATCAAGCTAATTAACTTTTGCATTACCTCACTTATTTTTCTGTGGTAATAACACTTAAAATCTACTCTCAGCAATTTGCAAGAATATAATGCATTGGTCGGCACCTGTGGCTCAGTGAGTAGGCCACCTATATACTAAGGGTGGCCAGTTTGAACCCAGCCTGGGCCAGCTAAAACAGCAGTGACAACTGCAACAAAAATAGCCGGGCGTTGTGGCAGGCACCTGTAGTCCCAGCTACTTGGGAGGCTGAGGCAAGAGAATCACTTGAGCCCAAGAGTTTGAGGTTGCT